CAGGATATCATACTTTTGTGAGATTAACATTTACACAAATACCGAGGTATATAAGTTATAAACCAATATGGGAACAATGACAAAAAATTCATTTTAGCAAGATAAAAACCATAAGGTAAAACTGTCAATAACGATTTGTGGCTTTCATATAAGGTAGTGTTTTAACCACCGGACCATAGTGACTTCGTTATAGCTATACTAATGGATATACCCCTAAGTACGTCTGACTTCACAGTGATTAATCTACTCCATGAAGAGTACCTGGTTGACATGGTCGACATTGTCCTGCCAGGCGAAGGTGCTGACAAAATGCAAGATCTTCTGATCATATCAACCAGAAATTTGAGTATGTTTTGGCATGAGTTCCGCATCTGTTAAATGTAAGATGATGCTTCAGGACCGGTGTGCTGCAAGTACTCCTAGTTCAGTGATAAGGAATGAAGTAGTGGAATATGTTGACAAATGCACTTACTTAGGGAGTTGCACCAGCCCGAACGGGTTGGTTGCCGATGAAATCTCACCTCGGATAAAGAAGGTCCGTTTGCAATTCGCCAACTTGCGTCATCTTTGATGCCACTGAGATACTCAAACATCTATGAAAGGGAGAGTATCCTGCACTTCAGTCAGTTCTGTCTTGTCAAACGGCTGTGAGATATTGGCGTTAAAGTTAGAAGACATGAAGAGGGTTACAGAGTTTTGACCAAAGGCATCTTCACGAAATTACTCGCGTTCAGTGGGATCACCGTTTGAGCAATATTGAAGTCAGGCGAAGGGTACTAGGCAAGACAGGGAAGTCGATTAGGGAGGTTGCGAACCTTAGTCGACTGAGATGATTTGGACATGTACTTCGTATATCGAGACACTACCTGCTTCAAAGTGCTATGCTAGGGGATGCTGGATTAGATTGGAAGAGCGTTCAGAAGGACCAGACCAAGACGTGGCACTAATCGATGAAGTCTTTGACTATTGATCTGAGCTGCGTGTGTGAGATGTAGACTGCCTGGTTGGCGTTCCTAAGACAACGGGAATCAGTGGTTGAGAACTCTGAGTGACATGGCTAAAAATCGGTGATAATGGCGTAGATATATTCACTCCTTGACATCTAAATCTTGAGTGTTCGCACTAACTAACTAGTTGTTCACTTTCTCACATTGCGTTATCCACTTTCATATCAATCTTTTTCTATCTCTCTGTCAGTTTTCTGACAAAAGTTGATAGGCGTTCGAATTTTTGGCTAATAAATTCTGAGAGTGAATTTTAACAGAAAATTTAATACTCACTGGAATTCAGTGAATGAGTCTAAAATGGAGAAAAATTTATGTTCTAAACTTTACTTTTATCCACTACTTTATCAAACTGGTGACCAAGTAAATAGTCCTGACAGTCCAATTGATTTGACTGAAACCTTACTTGAAGTAGAACTTATTTTGAGTTTCTACAGAGAATTTCAGAATATTTGGAGTATGTGTATTCAATGGGAAACGCGAAAGAAACTGAAACAGATAAATAGCTTTCTCACTTTTATTACAATATCACAAATATGCATATCAAATGCAAAGAAGTGAAGTCAGGTTCCTCTAATTCCGAACCATGGCTGCAAACCGTTTAAACCGTTACTTCAGAAATAAAAGAGGAAGGATATTGGGACCTGAAGCTGTATAACATTCAATTTTTCATACACAGTAGAGTTTGTTCGTACTACTACACAAATCTTGACTTCTCGGACGAGCTTAGCAAAAGAATTTAAGTGGATAGTTTAAGAATCTCTGTGCCTTAACTTCCAGGAGATTAAAGTGGCACAGATTCAGCTAGGCCTTATATTCATCTCAATTAAAACACTAAATCTCGCTATTCAGTTCACCTTTTCTTTGTTTCATTATATGATTTTCCACAGCTTTGACTAATTTATGTCTTGGAAATAGTAGAGAAGATTTTCAGCCCAGGATGAGGATAATAATTGTTTGGCGTTCTCCAAGCTTTCAGATTTGTTCTTTGACGTTTCATCAATAGGCCAGGTAACTTTATCATCATGCGCTTCACCAACCCTCACCATGATCCACCTGTGTGAAATGTAAAGAATTGAACCCCAATGCAACAACATCAGACCTTATTCTGATAATGTATGTCCGTTTATACTCGGAAAGTGATGACAATATCCAGTTGCTGCGGTTAATATAAACAGAGCGATATCGGAAAGATTAACTCAATGCTTGCAAATCATATGTCTAAAAGAATGCAGCCATCCTTTTGTGTAATTGCTCAGTACTTTATAGTTTACAATATATGTTAACATAAATCCGTGAAGAAAACCATGCATAAAAAGTAAACGGAAACAACAACCAACGAAGTTAAGGTAGAAACTGGAGTTTATTTTATTCTTGTTGCTAATTTTTGTATCGGAATGGAGGGAAACCCTTACGACTTCCTTTTATTCACTTATAGATAGATTCGTATAAAAGAAATCCATGCTAAAGTTTAGTTATTAAGTTAATATACCGTATAATTTTTGTCGGTTGATGAAATACCTTCTGAACCTAACTGTGTACAAGGCAAGATGACTAGAAATAATTACAAGAGGTTACATAACTGTCTAACAAAAGCTTTATCAAGTAATATTTCAAAGCAAGCCTTACGCTACAAGCATTTCAGACATACATAGTTAACAAATTAAGTGAAAAAGGAATTACAGGCAAAATGCAGTTCGAGGCTTATAAGGATTTTATTTTCAAAGTTGTATTCATCCTTGACTAACAAAGGTTGAGAGACCATTGAACATCTGGGAACACTCCACAGTTGTTACGTTCTTGTATGGGACTGCTCAGGACCTTCTGGATTCATGACGAACGTGTTAACCACTCAGTGAATAGTGACATCCTTAGAGATGGATATCCTGAAGCTCTACTGAGAAGCCATGACCAGAGGGGTCGACCAGCTGGAAGTGAAGCGGATGCCAACTGAAGACCTTGGTGGATAGTCGTGCTATATTGTGAATTGTCAGAAGTAGGAAACTGTGGATCATTAAAACCCAACCCAGTAGCTGGATAGCTAAAGCAATCGTCATAAAACCTGAGGGTCCTACGTTCAATCCCTGGTAAGTTCCTGGCTGTGTACTGCTTAGGAATCCCATACCAAAATGAAACAGCTGTTCAGTGCTCCCAAGTTTCCAGTGGTTCTTCAATTGATGTCAGTCTGTGATAAATGGGAACATGAGACACGTAAAATTTCAATCAACCTGAAACTTAAATTTATTTCTGATCAGTAGGCATATCATCTTGTCAAACAGCTGATCAATTAATTACCATTTGTGTTTTTCAGTCAAAAAATGAAAATAACAATGAATTACGAAGTACAATAAACATGACATTATCAGTTTGACTATCTGAGAGTGCCTTCGTTTGGCAGGTCTCTGGTTCGAATCCCACCGCGGCCCATATTTGCATTTCACTTTTAGTAACCACCCAGTGTCAAGTCTGATATCATCGAACAGCCTAGCATAAACTCTAAGGATGATGTAATATTCCTTTCTGTACTAACAACTGCTTTCATTTTTATATTATTTTCCTGTTCACAACTGACTTACTAAGGCTTATGAACTGATAAACATTCACGTTTTTACAATTAGACACTTTTGATAATGAAATTGACGGGAAAAAATTCGTTCACGTAAGTTCATAACAAAGAAAAGGTTGCCTACTATCACCGATTATCTTCCTGGTTGTAGTAGACTGGATTGGACTGGAATGGATTGTGCAACAAACAACAGTGTGGGGCGAGAGAAGACGAGTATATGCTGGCTGGACAGATGGAAAGACCCTACACAATTTGGATTTCACTGACGACGATTATGTCTAATGTCTTGTGGCACAAACTCGAAGATCTACAGGCGAAAACCAACAGGTTGACAGAAGAGGTGAGGTAGCGAAGGCGGGACTTGCTTCAAGTGAATGTAGAGAAGACAGAGGTGATGAAGATACCCAACCAACAACTACAACAACAACAACAAGCACCAATCACCATCAACGGGACAAATCTAGAGGAAGTTGTCTCTTATACCTACCTCCCTAAACAGCATAGTCTCAACCACAGGTAGTGGCACAGATGAGGATGTCAAAACCAGGATCGGCAAAGCAAGGCAGGCTTTCTTTAATCTGAAATCAGCGTGGAAATCGATTTCACTGCACTCAGCATGAACAACATCCGGATTTTCAACACTACTAATGTCAGTCAAGTCAGTCAGTGCTTCTATGTGATGGTTGAGAGACTTGGTGTCGCCTTACGAAAAGCATTTCCAACAAACTACAGATACACATCATCAACAGCTGCCGCCTACACTCACTCGATACTGAATATCACATCAGATGGCCACAATAATAAGGACAAGCAACAAGGAACTCTGGTTGGCTGGCAACGAACCAACCAAGAACCCATTGTCCAACGTGTATGCAGAAGAAAGTGGAGATGGATTTGATTGGGCATACACTGAGAAAACCGATTGGAGTCAACTCAGGCCAGGCCAGGCTGTCGAGTGGAACCCGTGTGGGAAAAGACCAGTCGGGCGTCCGAGGCTAGGGTGACATGGAGGAGATGATGTGAGGAAGAAATGAAAGCTTCTGGACAGTCGTGGAGCCAAACTGAAAAGACTGCAGAGAAAAGAGTGAAATGGTGACATGCTACTGAAGCCCTATGGTTCACTAGGAACCCAAGGGACAAATAATGAAGATAATAATTATTTAGTCTATATTTCAAGTGGAATACTATTAAATCTAGAGATCTATGTAATGTTCGATTATATAAGTGGTTAGTTTTCAACGATAAATGTAGTAAAGATGTTCTGTTGAATAGAACTTATCTTCATGAGAATTATCTTTTATTAAATGATGACATGCTTGATTCACACTCATGAATTCATTGACATGTTATGTGTGGTACAAATTTTGATGAGATGAATTCAACAATTTATATAAATTAAAACACTAATTCAACTGAGTTTAACAACTTACTAATACTTGGACGAAGTTCATACCGACCTGCTTAATAAGGAAATAAAACGGAATCGGATGACAACACTGAAGAGATATTTTATTTTTATGTGTATTTACATTGATAAGGTGGGTAATGTAGGTGAAAACAAAGGTAAAAGTTTGTATGAAATATGATTATGATTTAACCGGATAGAATGGTAAATATTTGGTGCCGAGTAAAAGATTGACATTAGATATAGATTGCATTTGTGTAAGTCACAGTGTGTTTGAACTCAAACAAACTCAAACCGTTTTGCACGGAAGTCTGGTCCGAGTTTCTTCAAAGAAATAATCAAAATTAATATCCATCTATTCATTTACATATCCTTGATATTTTAATTTTGATTATTTCCTTTAGAAGCTAGGACCAGACTTCCGTGCAAAACGGTGGGATTGTTTGAGTTCAAATACACTGTGACTTACACAAATGTAATCTATATCTAATGTCAGAGATTAAATTCCACTAAATTCATTCTTCTAATAGTTAAATTTTGTGATTAATCTTTGAAAACAGTCGATATGCTGAACTATGACTCTGTAGCTCTAGCTACTGAATCATGAAGAAACGTTCACTCAACCTTCACCGCTCTATATAATCTAATTGGAATATTTGCTTAAGTAATCTGTATTTCTTTCAGCTGATTAGTGTTACCCTTTAGTTTCCCTATAACACTTAGCGTCTAAAGGCAGAGAAATACATTATTACACAAAAAACATTTTAAAACAAAAAGGAAGATAAGGAAGCATGTATTTTTGCATAGATTTAGTCAATGAAAAGATGTAAGCTGATACGGTACAACACTAAGTGATAATGATCGTAAAGTAGGTATTTTAAAAAAAACTAACATTTGTAAGCTTATACAATACTTAATATTTCATTGAGTGCCTTTGAATAATAATAGACAAATCGGTCATTTGTATTTAGATATTAGGAAAACAAATTTTCATCTTGAGAGTAGTTTTCGTTACAATCATACACTCAACGCAAAATCACTGAAAACAAAACGGAATCTCACAATCACACCCTCGGACAAGTTGGACGTCGGACGGTGACATGGAGTAAATGGTGTGAGGAAGAAATGAGAGCTTCTGGGCTGTCGTGGAGCCAGGTTCAAAAGATTGCAGAGAAAAGAGTGAAATGGCCACGTGCTACTGAAGCGGTATGTTCCACTAGGAACCCAAGGGACAAATAATAATAAGCAATAACTCGTCAGCAGTGTAAACTGTCAGTCTCTTACGATACTCAACCTTGTGAAGTAACACTTATATAACTGGTAGTAGACATCCAGGTTCACGACTTGACATGAGGAAACTTATTGGGGTAATTAACTGCTGAACACTTGAAATGTAGAATGAGGTTTACTGGTCCACTTGATAGCTCTACATCAATTGGTATGAGCGGTATCAATAAAATGTTAAGTAGAATTTAGTTAGCTTTGAGGACTAGACAAAATAAGTGTTGTTACTCTACAGTGATCACTGGAGTCCCACAAGAGGTCAGTCGCAGTCCCAGTGGCTCAGTGGTATCATCACTGACTGCAACAGTTGAAGATGTTGGTCTGAATCTCAGAAGGAACATCAATTTCATCAACGCTGGCGAGTGTGAACAAGCACAAAAACCAGGTCGATCAAGGCATCATACCAAAAGCAACCAAGTATCTGAAAATAAAAGTAAATCTCTATAACTTCAAACTGAAAGCAGTTATCAGAATGGGTTTTGTGTATGCCCAATCATCTCCAAAAAAGTTCACTTTTGGTATACAATACAACATTCTGAGCAAACATAAAGAATTAGCAATTGATTGAGTGAATAGAAACGTTGGGAATCTTCATATAAAAAGATTATTAGAATACTTTTTATCCAAACGTTTATCACTACTTTGCATATTTGCAATTCCTAAGTTACTCGAGATACGCGATAGTACCTAAAACTGTTACACTGTCTGTGGTTACAGGTAGTCTCTTAACTTCAACTTCATTAACAGGACTTTCGTTAAAGTGAAAAAAGACTGCATCTAGACAGTGATCACCCTTAAAAATCAAGTTCATGGGATAATGAGATTATGACACAGCGTATAACAAGAGATTATGCTTGACTATAAAATACCATGAACCTCGCCTGGTTAACTAGTTTACTAGTTACTAGCCGGTCCTAAGCCCGGGTAAAGAGGGAAGGTTGGGCATAGGGCTAGCAACCCTACCCCGTAAAACAAATCTAACCGCTAAAGAAACTTCAAAGCACAAACAAAATATAAAAAATGAAAACAAACTTATTCCCCGCTGGAATCGGAGAGGCGAAATGACGCCAGTTGGTGAAAGCCTTCGGGAAGCCAATTGGCCGATGTGTCTTCTCTCGATGAAAGCGAAAGTAAACGTGGGGACATGGAATGTCCGCACGATGTTTGAACCCAGTAAGGCAGCCCAGATTGCAAGGGAGATGAGAAGGTATAACATCGAAGTGCTTGGGATTTGCGAAAGCAGATGGAATGGGAGTGGACTCTCCAAACTGTCAACTGGAGAATCAATAATCTACTCCGGTCACCCAGACGCCAACCACGAGCACACTGAGGGAGTGGCTATCATGATGTCCTCAAGAGCATCGAAGGCTCTCATGCAGTGGGAACCAATCTCCTCCAGGATCATGACAGCAAGATTCAACTCAAAAGGAAGGAAGGTCACAATCATACAATGTTATGCACCTACAAATAATGCAGAGCAAGAGAAAAAGGAGGATTTCTACAGACAACTTCAATCAACACTGGACAAGACGTCAGTTGGCGATATCAAAATTCTGATGGGCGACATGAATGCCAAACTGGGAGGGGACAACACGGGAAGAGAACTAACCATGGGTCGAGAGGCACTAGGTGAAATGAATGAGAATGGAGAATTGTTTGCAGAATTCTGCGCATTCAACGATTTGGTGATTGGAGGCAGTGTGTTCAGGCACAAAGATATCCACAAAGCGACATGGATTTCACCAGATGGACACACTAAAAATCAAATCGACTTTATCTCAATCTCAAGAAAATGGAGACGCAGTCTACTTAACACAAGGTCAAGAAGAGGAGCAGATGTAGGTTCAGACCACTCACTGTCTAGTGCAAGGAACCTTCCAAATCAAGTTAAAAGCCTTCAAGGAAGCTGGTGATAGACCACAGTTCAAGTACAACACTCGGAAACTGAAGGATGAAACTACAAAGGAGATCTTCAAGGCAGCCATCAAGACAAAATGGGAGACATCGAGCAACATCCCTGAAGAAACCTGTGTGGAAGAACACTGGAAGTCTTTGAAAGCTATGTGGAAAGAAACCTGCACAACAGTATTAGGAAGGAAGAAGAAAGAAGACAAGGAATGGATCTCGACAGATACCTGGAAGCTGATAGAGGAGAGGAGGATGGTGAAGCAGAAGATAAACCAGTGCAAGGATGCTCAACGACAAGAGGAACTGAGCACAATGTATAAAACACTGGACAAAGAAGTGAAGAAGAGTGCACGCAAAGACAAAAGACACTTCTACGAAACACTGGCAAGTGAAGCAGAACAGGCTGCAGGTAAGAGAGACCTGACGACATTGTATCAAATAACCAGGTTGCTATCAGGGAAGAGACCAACACAGATGAAACCAATAAAAGATGAAGAAGGAAATTTAATTACAAAAGAAGAGAAACAGAGGAAACGATGGGCCGACCACTTCAAGAAGCTCTTGAATCGACCACCACCTGCACTTCGTCCAGAAATACCACCTGCAGCCGCTGAACTACAAGTGAACATTAATCCCCCAACGAAAATGGAAGTCCTGAACGCCATAAAGCTACTGAAATGCGGGAAAGCAGCAGGACCAGATGGAATACCGCCAGAAGCACTGAAAACAGATGCAGAGACAACAGCGGACATGCTCACACCACTATTGCAGAAGGTGTGGAAGGAAGAGAAGGTACCTGACGATTGGAAGAAGGGTTACCTTGTCAAACTGCCGAAGAAGGGAGACCTCAGTGCTTGCAAGAACTGGCGCGGAATCACTCTCCTGTCCACCCCAAGTAAAATATTAAGCCGCATCATCCTGGAGAGGCTTAAGGATGCACTGGATTCAAAACTACGACCGGAACAGGCAGGCTTCAGGAAGTACAAATCATGTGCAGACCAAATTGCAACGCTTCGTATCATCATAGAACAGAGCATAGAATGGCAATCACCTCTCCACCTCAACTTCATCGACTTTGAGAAGGCCTTTGACAGCGTCGACCGAGAAGTAATTTGGAAACTGCTTCAATACTACGGAGTACCGCAAACCTTTATCCGCCTCATTCAACAACTATATGAAGATGCTACATGCCAAGTAATCCACAATGGGAAGCTCAGTGATGCCTTTGAAGTGAAGACAGGAGTGAAACAAGGTTGCCTACTATCCCCCATGATATTCTTGATTGTGGTGGACTGGATCATGCAGCAAACAGTAGGCAGCGAGAAGAGGGGGATACACTGGACGACGGAAAAGAACCTAGAAGACTTGGATTTCGCCGATGACTTATGCCTAATGTCACATAAACTTGAAGATCTGCAGGCAAAAACTAACAAGTTGATAGAAGAGGCAGCGAAGACGGGACTTCAGGTGAATATAGAGAAGACAGAAGTGATGAAGATACCCAACCAACAACAACAACAAACTCCAATCACCGTCAACGGGAGAAACTTAAAGGAAGTAACCTCCTTCACTTATCTAGGAAGCACTGTTTCAACTACAGGCGGGACGGACGAGGACGTCAAAGTCAGAATCGGAAAAGCAAGACAGGCGTTCATTAGCCTGAAACCAGTGTGGAGATCTTCTGCACTCAGCATGCGGAACAAGATACGGATTTTCAACACCAACGTCAAGTCAGTGCTCTTGTATGGCTCAGAGACTTGGCGCGTCACGAAAGGTATTTCCAATAAACTACAGACATTCATCAACAACTGCTTACGCTCGCTGCTGAAGATCAGATGGCCAGAAAAAATAAGCAACAAGGAA